TGGGAAAGGATAGGGGTATGGAAGAAGATATTTATGAGCGTGGTTGGTTGTAGTGGGGGTATAATAATGTGTTTTTAAATTAAAAAATAATTATAATCTGATTTTGAATAGTGATATGATGAGAAATGTATGGTTGAAAAAGAAGAAAAAATTTATTAATGTGATGGAAAATATTATTTTATTGAAAAATGTGTGGTTGAAAATGAGAATTGATTTACTTTAGAAAAATTTAATCCCTCCCAAACAGTGCCTTAGTAACTAGTTTTCGAAATTGGAAATTAAAATGTAGGGTTTTAGGGGAATTTTTCCAGAAAAAAATGGATTGTTCCCTCGGATAGCCCATACCTTCTCTTAATCCAGCCCATAACAGAGAGCCTCCATCCAGTGATGGGCCTTCTCAGCTGATACATTTAGTAATGCGTGCCCAAAATCTGGACTTTATATCAAATAACAAATGATTTGCTGTCTCTTTCATTTTAGACTACTAATCAAAAGGGTACATTTCTCTCTCAATGTTTTTGCTCTGAGCCTTTGACCCTGCAGTTCTGGGGAAAATGACCCAAATCCGAAGATTTCTAGTTCCGGGCCTGTGCCTACTAGGCTCAACAGAGGCCCAATGAATCGAGATAAGTCCATGTGTCACCCTAGATATGTCATAGCCGTTCTTTTGGGTAGAACCAAGCCTTCATCACTGTAATATATTGGAAACATCTTCAAAAGATCCTTTAAATATAAAATGCTCTATTTTAAAGAGTCGACTCTTAAAATTATATTTCAAAAAACTATTTAAATTAACATCTCAATTTAGATAATGAGTTTGACTCCATAAATTTAAAAAGTCAAACTCACTCTCTATAATTAATTACATTCAAAGTATTTTAATTTTTAATGGAGAAAAATAATATAACAATTTAGAAAAAAACTAGTGAAAATAAAAGATATGAAAAAACAATAAGGGTGTGTTTGATTGCATTTATTTTCCACGAAAAATGTTAGTTTTTCACCTAAATTTCTACTTTGAAGTGTTTAAATGCTATTCTTTTAATGAAAAATGTTTTCCAACTTTTAAAAATATGCCAATTTTCCTTTTTTTAAGGGAAACAAATTTCTTGGGGGGGTAAGTTTTTGTTTTCCTCAAAATAAGAAAAATATTTTCTTTTTCTAATATATCTTTTTCACACCAATCAAACACACTCTAAATATTTTTTTTTATAGTAATAAAAATATTGTTGGAGTATTTAAAAATTTTTAGTCTTTAAATTTATAGACGCACTTTAAATGAAAAAAATATACTCTTTAAAAATAGAGTATCTGGAAGATGCTCTTAATAAGGGTAGCACTCGACATATTGTAGTGGTGGCAATCGAGCCGAGCGACGGGCTCACTAGGTGAGTCGAGCCCGTGAGCTCGTGAAAAAAACACAAAAAAATTAAAAACAAGCTAAAAATAATAAAATAATAATTTGACGAGCCATGAGCCGAGCCATCTCGGCTCATGAGCTCGTGGGCCGAGCCGAGCTCGCACACGAGCAAAGGAGCCACGAGCCGGCTAGGCTCGTGAGCTCGTAGCTCATTTGTCCACGAGCTTAGCCGAGCTCGTGGGTTTAAGGGTCGAGTCGGCTCGACTTGACCCATTGACATCTCTAATCATCATTCACGAGTCAGAACAAGCCACCGTCAAAACAAGGGCAAAATCGTCCAATTTCACCTTGTCGCTCGAAATAGAAAACGAACACTACCACAAGGTCCATCATGCCTCCCAGAGCAAACATCAGAACAGGCCATCGTCAGCCATTGCTGAACGCGCCCTCATGCACTTGTAGAGTTTATGCGTGTGGACTCCACGCACCACCACACGTGCTGTCGCCCAGACTTACGCGCCAAGCACCGCCTTGGTCTATTGAGCACACCTTGGTCCTAGTTTCTTCAAATGGCGGTTTGGCCGAAAAAGAGAAAATTAGATCTGATAGATTGAAGAAAAATCCCGATTTTCGTCTAGCTTTTTGCCTGATTTTCAACACGATTTCAGACCACTTCCAACTAGTTTTTGCCCTCTTTTTTCAAAGATTTCTCAACAACATAAGTTCTGATACCATTTGTTGATGGAATCTCCCAAAAATCTTAAATTTGGGCTCAGTTATTCGACCAAATAAACACTAATCGAGGAGTTTCCAACCCCAACTTCTACACTTGGTTGCCACTAGTTTCTTTCTCATAAAGGATGGTGGTGGTGGTGGTGGTGGTGATTTGAAGCCACTAAGGAAAGAGGAAAACAAAGAGGAACTATTGTAATTACTCAACCAAGATGGCTTCCTCATTCATGTTTTATCTCTTTGCAAAAAAAAATACACAGAGAGGGAAAATGGCAGTGAAGGATGCAAAAAAATACATACAAACTAAGGCCCTATTTGGCCCTCATTTTTTGAGGTTGAAAATTTGTAGAATAGTAATTGATAGGAAAATGTGTGGTGGAAAAGTTTTAGATTTGTATGTAATATTATTTTATTTGAGAATGTGTGGTTGAAATGAAGAGAGATAAAAAAAATAATGTAATAGAATGAGAAAAAATGGGGCTCAAACGGGGGCTAAGTAATGGACCACACAATCCAAAGGCCAAGCTAACCAAATAAATAGGCCATCAATATATCACCACCATCCAAAACCACAACTTGGGTCATTCACGAGTGTTGGATCATAAGCAACATGAACTTAATTAAATTGTTTTTAGTAGCCCAAGTTGTTTTTGGGCCGAGTTATCACTAAGGTGTCAATATAATTTATCTAACATCGTTTTAAAATTATCATCTGAATTTATTATGTATCAAAAACCAACTCATCTCATTGTGTTAAAGTCATGTATTACTCTCCCTCAAAAGTTATGTGTTTATCTGATTTTGTGTATCTCTTTCAAAACCCATAAATACTATTGATATTATTGAACTTTTACTAAATGGGTATTAGACTATATTTACATTATTGAACATTTCGTTGTTAAAGTATAAAATGTCCATAAGTTGAGCATTTTGAAAAAGGAGATGTTAACATAAATGTTGAAATAGATAGGGATGTTAAATGAGCCGAGATGTCTCGTCCCACCAAAAATGTACCCTGTATGGCTGAAAAAAGTAGCAATGCAAGTTGCTTAGAATAGACTGTTACGACTGTGATGCCAGATCCAACCCAAATACATGAGGCGACGATCAAAATGGCCTTCTGTCCAACTTTCTATTGTCCAATAATATTGACTAAAGAAGCCCAAGCCTAATAGTTAGTCCAGAGAGAAGCGTGTTTGGTAAATGTGACTGGTTGTTTTTGCCTTATAACTAAAAGTACAAGCTTCTGTGGACCATTGGATTATCTGCTATCCCAATCTTGATATATTGTTATGTTTCGAGTAAAATCATAGGAATATTCAATCATTCGGTTCTTTCATCTTCTCGAGGGTTCTCTAGCGTGTTCAGTCTTCTCTTTTGTTTTTGAGTTACTCTTTAATCTATTTGTAGAGTATTTTTTCTTGGTGAAATTTGGTGAAATAGTATATTATTTCGATAGTAACGGTGGGCTCTTCTAGTCCATTGAAGAAGCTGCACATTTCATGTGATTGAAAAGGTTCTTATGGTGAATCTCGGTTGTTCTGTGTTGATATAGAAGGGTACAATATCTCCGACTCCTCGATCGTAGATATATTGGTGTAGAGTGGTTAGGGACTAAAGTTTTGTAAAATAATCGTGTCAATCTATTATTTTGTACATTTGGTTTGTATAATATAGGCAACCCTAGCTCGGCTTGCTAGCCACCTCATGCTAGTCGTAGAGCAACTCAAATAATTATTTTGCCAAGGACTTGCTGGTCAGCTCAAGCTCGCAGCTCGGCTCGCACGTGTGGTAAACTAGTAGAGTTGTAATATGCTTGTAAGAGTTTGAAATCTCATAAAATATTTTGGAACCATGCTAGGTGTACAATCATTAGTGGGTTACAACACTTACAACACACTCACATTAGTGTGGTAGTTATGAAAGTGTAAATCGTACAAAACATCAAAACAAAAGTGCCTTCACCCGTCCATCTTGTCTATGTACCACTCCGACTTTCCTTTGCAATTTGCATAAATGCATGTGATTTCAGGAATGTACGTACGCATCTCATCTCCATTCATATTTAAGATTAAAATTTTAATTTTAGTTTCTACTAAGACCTTGTATGGGAAGGATTAAAATCGGATTAAAATTGAAAATATAGTCGTTATTATTGACTTTTATTAGACGAGTGGGACCTAATAACGGCCATATTTTCAATTTTAATTAGATTTTAATCCCTCCCGAACGGGGCCTAAATATGGGTTAAATAAATGCTTTAAGAAAACTATTTAAAATTTTGGTTAGGTAATGTTTGTGATAGCAATTTGATTGATGGTGCCATTTTAAAGACGCATTAATGTTTAGGCCTTGTATGGGAGGGATTAAAATCAGATTAAAATTGAAAATATAGCCGTCATTGTTGACTTTTATTAGACGAGTGGGACCCAATAACGACCATATTTTCAATTTTAATTGACTTTTAATCCCTCCCGAACGGGGTCTTAATGTACTTGTGGGGCCCATCCCCTTTGTGAGGGGCCTCTCTGTGAGAGTAAGTATTGCCATGGCCGGTAACCCTTCCCGAGAAACAGTTTGACCCTTGACTATCAAAAGAAAAGCTCCAAAGAGCAGAAATCAAGAGACATGGTTAAAGATAATACTTAAATGCATTTCTTTATTTTCGTCATCGATTAATTATGAACTCTTGTACAAGTCACATCGACCCTAATTCATCTGCTCGCCCATGGAATCCATGGGTTAGCTCCTTATGTTAAAATTGATCCAATCATATTAACTACCAATTTGTTTATTGTAATTAATTAATATGCGGACAATTTGTTTACGTAGCTGAAACCATATTCATACTCGTCATCTTGGAATCTTGGGCTAGGACGTCGTTAATTGTGTTTATCTTTTGCACTCTCTATGCAGTACGGTGGAGGGCCGAATCAAGAATTTTTACGATCTCTTTTGCGGTCAAGCTGGATTGTTCCTCCATCTACAAAATAATAAGTTGAATATAAATTAATAATTTGTAGAAATAGTAAATCCATGAGCATTGAAAATATCATCTTAGAGTAATTACCTCAGTAATAATTTTTATGTCAAAGGAGAAATTTCCAAATGGTGTGACATTAGTATATATTACAATGAGATTGAGCTTCTCGACCTCACTTAGTATTTTCGACAGAACCCCATTGCGTTTCTTACTGTGGATACTGAGATGAATGTGGTTGTTGCACACTCTAGCTTCTATTTCCGGCAAATGCTGTTCGCAGGAACTGTTAATCTCGTAGGACGATCCCTCGTCTTCCATTTGAAGCCTCGATCTCTTGACAACCACAGATTCCAGGTTCTGTTTTGTTGATTGTTCCTCAATAGTGTGCACACGCTCTTGGAGGTGTTTCAAATACTTGATAGCATCTCCCAGTACAGAATTTTTATCCATCTGCAATGTCAATATCATATGCTCAAAGAATTGTCTTAGGTCAAAATTTATCATTATTACTAT